ATTTCGGTTACTTTTCGCTTCGTGGCCAGCATGTGATAAGGTCCTAAGCCTGTTAGCCTCATACCTGGAGCTAAGCACAGCAAAACTAAAGAATTTGCCCCCCTCATATCTGCCTGGAGATGGCCCATGGAAAGTGAGGTCTCAGGGTTGGATCCTAAGATCTGGCAACCTTATCCACTTCAGATTTTCAGTACAAGAGAAAGCTGCAAAGGGGATGGTAGCTATACATCTGATGCTTTGATGATCTAGCATTTTTTGAGAGAGTACAACAAAATAACAAGCGATTGCCACTAGAGGCGGTTTCCCTTAACACACACATAACACACGTAGCATGAACATATATTTTTTTAAAAAAAAATCATAGATATGTACATTTGCCTATGATAGTTATTAGATTTGATACCCAAACTAGAAACTAGTTATTTCCCTTTCTGGCAATACCATTAAATGGGATATTCAAGTAGCAATAAGTACTGATTCAATATATGACACTAACATAAGATAAGAGACATAGCAAACAAACATGTATTACTGACTGCTTTGCACATTTATCCTTTAGAGGAGTGTTGTCCTGCAGGTTGCATGTGGCCCCTACCTGGAGGGGGTTCCTTCTTTCACTGCTTCTGAATTCAGTGGCACTATTATGGTTAATTCTTCTGCATTTTTTCTCTTTTATACAAACTCGTGCTTTCCAGAAGCCTCAGGCAAACACAATTTTTCTTCAGACAAGGTGTACATTCTCTGTACACTTTGTTTTAACCAGGAAGTGCTGCCTTTTTTATTGCCTCCACCAAAAAAAGGCTTATAGCCCTGGCAGATATATAGTGGAAGAACTAGTGTGCAGACCAGATGAACACTTCTGAATGAAGGCCAGTCTTTGCATGTGAACTCCCTGCCCGTGTCTAGAATTATTTTTTGCCATGTCTTTGCAGAGTCAAAAACAGATGTAGGGCCTTTGCAGACTGCCAGAAATAGTGCACATTAAATTGAGGCACTGCCCTGGCTCTCTGCTAGGGAATCATGGGAACTGTAATTTGTTGTGGCACCAGAGCTCTCTGACAGAGAAGGCTCAATGTCTCAGAAAAAAAATACAATTCCCATGACTCCCTAGCACTGAGCCAGGGCAGTGCCTCAATTTAATGTGCACTATTTCTGGCAGTCTGCAAAGACTCGTAGGCACCATTGCTCTCCTCATCCCTGACCATTTTAGAAAGGGGTTGAGCAGGGGTAGGCAACCTAAGGCCCGGGGGCTGGATGTGGCCCCCGAGGCCTTTGGACCGGCCCCAGGCCGGTCCTGCCGCAGCTGCTGCCGCTGCCGCCACCACCCCCCGCCATGATGATATTGATTATTGTTGTTATTACTTGTTCTTGGGTTTTCTTGGCAAAATCTCCACAGGGGTTTTGCCATGGCTTTTCTGGGGCTGAGAGTGTGTGCATGCATATTTATTTTATTTTATTTTATTTTATTTTATTTTATTTATGGTGCTTTGGCCCCCCAATTGTCTGAGGGACAGCAACCCGGCCCCCGGCTCAAAAAGGTTGCCTACCCCTGGGGTTGAGGAAGAGAAAATGCAACAACATCAGGAGACTCCAGGTTCTAAACCTTTACATTTACATTTTTAAAAAACTGAGATAGTTTCTGAGATACTTTGAGATGGCTTTAAAGGACTAGGGATAGATCCTCACCTCCTCATAGAGGCTTCTCAGGAAATTGACCTCCTTAGTCAGAGAAGCCACCCTGGCCTCCATCTCGACTTTGTTCATATAGGCTGAATCTACATCCTGTGGAAAAACAAAACAAAACCGCACATCAGAAATGTTTTGTTGAAACATTTGAAATATAAATATTAAATATATTTTATGTGCATGCAAACAATGTACAATCCCCATTCTCTCACTCTCCTCACCTTTCCAATGATACTACCTCTCCCATTGATTTCCCACTTCCCATTCCTTATTTTCATACACATGCTGATATACACAACTTGAAAACAAATCCCCATATATCAGAGTGGAGGACCTGGAGTTCTCCATGTGTTTCTGGACTTCTTTGCATCTGAACAAGTTGGCTAGAGCCCCAGAAATCCAATGCCAAATGCAATTTATCCTTAAAGTGGAAAAGTCATGATTAAGGGTATGTCTGCAACATACAGTTATAGTAGTTTGATACCACATTCATTGTCCTGATTTTCTCTTATGGCATTTTGAGATGTGTTGTTGATTTCAATACTTGAAATTTCATGCTAGAAATCATGTTTATTTGTTGCAAATTTTTATCCCCAAATAAGCAGTCTTATTTGTGGAATAAGAGCCTTGAAATGCCCAAATGATCAACACCAAGTGAGCCACCACAGGAAATCCCTATATCAGGTGTTTTACATATACCCCTTCAATGCCATGCAGAGAAGTTTATTTTAAAAAAAGCTGAAAACAGGAGGTTTGAAAAGTGACTTTTTGAACTAGAGATGCTAGAATCTGTTGTAGGGAGGGCAAGAGTCAATTTCAGGGCCTTGGTCTATTCAGTTCCCTGGCCAGCTCAGGCTCAATGAACTGTTAAACTGAAACATATCAGCTTATCGGCTGCCAGGAACGGAATGGAAGGGAATGGAACAGAGCAAAACACATTTTACTGCATGGGAGAACGCCACCGATGGCGCCGGGAGTCCCCAAGGCATTCTCCAGCCGTTCCTGGCAGCCGATTTTTGAAGGACGGTTCAAAATCATTCTCACAGACCTTCCCCAAATAAGATCCTGGGCTGGTAATGCTGGCTGTAAATTGGTGTTAGATTTTGGTTGTGTGTTTGGAAAGATTTGCATTTATACCACCATTGCTTTCTCAAACCCAGGGTAGGGAAAGAAAGAGATCCACTGCCAGAAATAATACAGCTTGAGGCCACTTTAACTGTCCTGGCTCAGTGCTAAGGAATCATGGGAACTGAAGTTTATTGTGGCACAAGAGCTCTCTGACAGAGAAGGCTCAATGTCCCAGAAAAAAAAACAATTCCCATGATTCCCTAGCACTGAGCCAAGACAGTTAAAGTGGCCTCAAGCTGCTTTCTTTCTGGCAGTCTGTAAAGGCCCTAACTTGGGCCTCGGCAGACGGCTAATTGAGCCGTCTCCGAGCCCAGGAAGAGGAGGAGCAGGCACACGCACGGCACTCCTTCCTCTCCCTGAGGTCGTCCTCGGAGCCGCCGGCCCTCCGCATGGCTGGTGCTCCGGGGACAACCTCCCACCGCAGAGACCGGACGCGCTGCGGCAGAAAAGACAGAGAAAGTGCGCCCGACGCTTTTAGGGCACACTTTCCCTGTCTTGAGGAAGGAGCGCTGATTTAGCGCTCCTTCCAAGGACACCACCGGTGCGCCGAGATGCGGAGGCTGTGGCCCCGCAGAGCGCCGGCCCAGGGCATCTGGGAAGCTCTCGTCTGCTTCCCCCCTTCGTCTTTGCCTTGGGTTTTACTGCTGCATCCCACTTCATCGCTCATGTATGAGTAGTTGTTAAGTGCCTTGGTGACTATGCTTTATCCTCCATTTTGCTAAAATGAAATCTTGTATTAAAAGGAGAAAACGGTGCATCTTCAACATATAGTTCTCCCTTTCTTTCATTCTGATTGCTATCTGTGAATCTTGACCCACTCTGGCTATGACTAGACATTGGCAGAGAGGGGGAGGAGGGAGTCTGGGCTGCCATCAAGACCTAGCAGCCTACCTAGCTGCCAAAATACTAAACCAGAAGACATAGCTTACCACTGATATTGGTGGTGTCTGCACAGGCCAAGATACTCTGGAACCAGCCTGTAGCATCCTGGCCCCAGAGCTGCCCCATCCGCCCCCTGTTACCTGTGGCTCTCTGTTTCAATGGTGGCCAGCTGTTTGTTGATCACACGGCTGGGTGCCTTGTTCTGACCTCAGAGTGAGTGATTCGCTGTGGTGGTGAAGGTACTGGGCAACACAGCAGGACATACATGCAAACAGCTGCTTAGCATCACAACAGAGAGAGCAAGATATTCCAGGAAGATCTGGAGCAAATGGTAAGGTTTTTTTATTTCATTTTAAGAGGGGTATACCAGGGGGTTTGGTGCTGTGTCATCTTGACTCCCTGCCAAAAGGACCCATCCCTGCTGAAAAGAACATTTTATTTGGCCCATGCAGACAGTGTCATTGTCTCTGACTCCAGGACTCCTGTGTGTATGGCAGCATGCATGAACCATCCACAATTTCAAAGGTCCACAGTGTTTCCAATACAGCTGCAATCTGAAGCATAGTTTGAATATTTAAACGGAAGGAGATCCACAGACTGGAGTCCTACTGCTCCCAGCACCATGATCAGTAAGCCCACCAGGTGTGCAGCTATATCGGGGTGGGGTGGGGTGGGGGGGTTCCCAAAATGCACTTTGGTAGAGGCCCCCTCCAACTTGGAGCTGACTCTGGTCAGGAGTAACTAATAATGTCTCTAGTCTTTCCAGACTTACCTGTTGCCCCTCAAGCAGTTATCACCATTTACCTCCATTTAGATCTACCTTTGTTATATGGACTCCCCCCCCCCAAAAAAAAACTTGCCTTTTTTAGCAGTACAAATTCATTTTCAGCAGTTGTGCGCTTGTTGATTTCTTCCTCATACCTTTTGGGATTTGAAAAAAGGACAGGGATTAGGATGACCCCATGGACTGACTACATTCTATCAGTTAAAAGAACAATA